TGTAGTTGTGCTTCGTCAAGAGAAACACCCCTACACTCTGTGGTTATGTCTCGTAAGACAGAGAGATATTTTTATGTTCTGTAGTTGTGTCTTGTTAAGAGAGATCTTTATATTCTTCAGTTATGTTTCGTCAACATTTCTAACCTCATAAAAGAAAGCAGGCATACGTTTACTTTAAATATTTCTTCCATATTTCTCTTTAATATGAATACCACGCTTTTTTGTACACACACACACTCAGATATACATACAAAACAGGTTAACACATACAAGTGTATATATGTGAAGCACATTTTGCAATGCAATAAAACAGTGATGACATATCACAACTTCATGCTAAACATCAATTATTTCATGAACAGAGTACGTTTTAAAAAAAAAACTTTGAAGAAACTTTACAAATTGTAAAATAATTAACACTGTTTAATTTTTATTCTTTCAACATTTTAACTGTTGATGGTGATGATCATGTCGATTATTTACTTGTCGTATATATATATATATATATATGGATATGGTATAGGTTATTTTTTTAAACTTTGGTGTTACAGAGTTCCTTAAAAAGTCACATTGACTTCTATATTCAAAATGCATCCGAATAATTCCATTCTTTTGTTTTTCATCACATCATAACATCGTAACAAATAATAAAGTCTGAAAAATTAATATTTGAATAATTTCATACTTGGTGGTGTTCCAATGTATTCCAAACCGATGTACAGTTTTAAAATAGCTTAAGCATTTTCTTTTCTCTTTTGACCTTTACAATGACTGAGTTTGACACGCACGAAACCAAAACAAAATAACAGACTAGTGAACGCCCCAAATATAGTCCCATAGTCCCTGATAAACTCCCATCTCATTACTTGTTTATCATATTCAAGTACCAGCCTAGATGAAAAAAAAAAAAAAAGCAACACGAAATATAATCCTCCTCAAACTTTTCGACAAGCCAACAAATTTGGAGGCTTACTTAATTTGGAATCCTTACACCTGTGAAATATAAACTAGTGGGATTGATTTTCGCTGTTGTCTCTCCACGTGTGTACAGGAAATTGGCTGTTGAATTCTATTTATGGTCTTACCTATTTCATGTGTCTGTGGATTGCTTGAAAATTGAGTAAGTCATTGTTTTTTTACCTGTCTCAGAAAATAACGAATATAATAAGATCAAAACGACTTCTTAAGACGACTACATATTAACCTTTAAATTTATCATTTTTGTTCATATTGATGGCGTCTGCTTGAACACCTTCCTTGATGATTTGCAAAAACAAGGGTTTGTTTGTTTGAAGTTAAATACAAAGCTACACAATGTGGTATCTGTGCTCTGCCCACCACGGTTATCAAAACCCGGTTTCTAGCGTTGTAAGTTCGCAGAAACATACCGCTGTGCCACTGGGGTGGGTGCGCAAAAACAAGGAAAAAACACAAACAGTACTAAAAGGCTTAAATTCACAGTAGAATAAGAAGCTGACATTAAGCGATATATTTTTCACTGTGATTAAATATTTTGTTCATTTCTGCTCATTACTTTCTTTACTGTTCGTGTTAGCTTTACTCTCTACGTAATATTTCCAGAATATGCCATTTACAAAACCAAAAGGAAAAACACAAAGAATACTAAAAAGCATAAACTCAAAGTTTAAAAAATGACGATAGCAAAAACAATGTTATACACTAACTAACATTTCTGAACTATTCTCACTTACTCAAACATCTTTTCCATCATTACACAATAAATTAAGAACACACAAAAAACGAAGACGGTTAAAACATCATGATTGTCTATTATCGTACAATATGTATTTTATGTGCCACAAATTTCGTTTTAGATAAAATTTTACGCGTAATTGCTCAGGAAAAGACAAGTGTATTCCAGTATGTTCCGCAGTTATTAAAGCTAGTTGATATTCTGTTACAGTTGTTCTTTTTAACTCTCTTCCATGTAGTTAATCTTTTCCATTTAGAATTTTTTACGTCGCCTGCTTCTCTTTTTTTGTTGATCAAATTACTTGATAAAACATTTATTAGTTCTAAATTGATTTTTTTTTATTCTATCTAATCACATCGGGAGATATGATTACTGATATAAGTGCGAGTGTACATTGTAATTGTTAATAACCTAAGTTTCCCATCACAATTTCAACTCAGTTCTTGTAACAGAAAATAAGTCACGTCGTCGTGCTGCTGCTTATAAATTCTCTCGCTAGGCGCTTGCTGGAAAACTATCGAATACATAATCATGATTTATTTTGTTTCTGTTTCCTGCGATAGCATGAGATACGCAGAAAACACTAAAATAATTGAGGAGGTAACTGTAATGACCAAAATAGTCATGAATATCAATCTTTTATAATTAGTTAAGTCAGATATGTTCAGGTAGATTTTGTTTTGAATTTTCATGTAGTATCATATTCTTTTAAGCCGAATGTCAAAAAGCCGTAAACACGCGTTAATCCTTTAACACAGGTAAAGGTTGCAAAGGCCAATGGTTAGAAATTCGTCTAATCTTGTTCTTGTTTCTCCGTCCACCCCTAGCGCTGACGAGTCCATCTAAAGAGGTCATGCAGATACTTGTACAAACTAGTATGATATAGGTTTTTTTTATTTTCTGTGAATGTGATATGGAATAGTCGATGACGTTTATAGCTGTCCGAGTGTAGTATACCGAACTTTAAAGTTTTCTCAGAATTTAGGTAGTAAAGTAAAATTATCTTTCTCTTTTTTTTTGATGGGAAGTTTCAAAAAAGCCTTCATTTTCCTTAGCAACCAGTTAACTTCACAGCAGAATAAGAAGCTGACATTAAGATATACATTTTTCACTGTTAATAAATAGTTTGTTCATTTATGCTTGTTTCTTTCTTTACTGTTCGTGTTAGATTTATTCTCTGCATAATATTTCCATGATATGTATTTTGCGGATATTTTGAAACTTATCTATTGGATATCAGTGGACCTTAATACCACGTAAAGTGTAATCAACCAGTATTTCCTGTAGTCAGTCTTTTTTGAAGACTTCTTAAGTTAACATTCGCTGAAACATTTCTATCCTTATTCGAATCATTATAAGGCCGTCATGCATACCTAATAACATTGAAGTACATGGAACCAATCCGCTTCTTTTATATACTGGTGAAACAAATCCACTGCTTAGCTAAGCACTTAGAACTTTAAAAAATGTTTGACCAAAATCTCATTAGACAAGTTGATGATTCGAGTTCCGGCCGACATAGTTGTTGATTGTATGTGTAACCAGCCATGTTATTTCACTTTTGAAGTCAGGTTGTATATAAGCTCTCAGAATAATTTCAATTATTAAAGCTGAACCACTAAACAACTTCAAGTATTATACGTTTTAAATAATAAAAAATGCAGAGTTGAGATGAAAGAGAGACCTAAAAAAGTAGTCGCTATATGTATATCATAGTTGTCTGTATGTCGGGACAAGTTAACAGAAGAGACAATTTAATAGTTAACTTCCAGGATAAACATAAAAACTACTATACCAGTGGCGACTGATATGAACGTACTTCATACGAAGAGAGAGTGTGACAAAAAATTAACCTTTCGTGAATAATCTGGAATGATACTCCACACAGATCTAGCCACATAAATCTGCGAAAATAGAAATACAAAAAATCGCAGAATTTATATTAAAAAGTGTTTAAATGGAGTGAACAGTTAACTTGATAATTGTAAAGATGAGGATTATACCTATTTTTATTGCTTTATTTTACGGATAGGATAAGGCGTGCCCTAGTGGTTAGTGTGGATAGCTGGGAATCTGAATGTTCAAGGTTCGAGCCGCGACAATCTGATGAATACTATTCGTTGGTAAAAGAGTAGTCCAAGTGTTGCTTCCTTCCCTCTAGTTTTTCACGGCTAGCACAAATAGCACTCGTGTAGCTTTGCGCAAAATTCAAAAGAAACCAAATTCATTGGAAAGCTTTTCATTTGTTCTGTGAGCGAGCTGTCGTTTGCAAGTGAACAATAACAATTATGATACATTCATGAAAAAAAAATGCAGTTGAAAAATATATGTCGAGGAGGAAATATGAACACTTTTGTAAAATATGTGAATTGTTTAAAGTATGATAATAATATATTTATTTATTCATGTCGGTATATTTTTTTTATTCTGGTTACGTAAGCCAGCTCAAACTCGTCACTATTCCGTTTGTGAACACATTAATTTCTCATTAAGTTAAAATTCTAGATAATAGAACCAGTTAAGGCTTAGTCACAGTTAATGGTTTTGTTTAAACAATAATGTAATATAGTTTTTCCTTTGTTTCCGCAGTCAAATGACAGTCCGACAACTTGAAGTGAAAAGTCCGCATACGATATTAAATATAATTGAAGAGTAACATTTTTATGTAATTATTATTTAACCTCTTCAGCCCAAAAAATGGTTCAAGCAAATATAGAATGATAACGTTATGTACAAAACAAGATTCGCCGGTGAAGATAGGAGATAACATGTGTATTATAACCGTTGTTTCGTGGTTTACTTTATGTTTGTGTCAAACTTTTAACGTTTTTTGTGCAGCAACAGTCTTTATTAAAGTTTCTATATCTTTTCTGGGAAATATATGATACAAAAATACATACAGTCCTAATGTGTATAAAAATTAATCCTTGAAATACATGAGCCTCTCACACTTCTGGTCTTTTTAAGCTTGTTTTTTTTTGATGCATTTATGTGATTTATTTTCCGATGTTGTGTTTGTTATTACACCACACTTTCGGCTACTAACCTATATAACCGAATCCAGGTTTTTTTAGTATTTGGCTCCAGCCAAACTAACAGGAACTTTGTCTTGTTTTTGACCAATCCGATCGCATACACAGTTGAAGATCCGCTTGTCCAAAGACGACAGGTTTTTCATTCAATAAAGCAGGCGCACGTGACAGTAAAGTTCGCTATTCTTGCTTACAGTACCAAAGCGACTATAGAAGCTTACATCAAGTTGTAATTGTTTCTCTGGTATCATTATAAGGATAATGACTGTTAAATATAGTTATTGTTACGTCACTAGTACTTAAACCACTTACAAGTTGGTTGCTACTTTGGAAGCAAATGTATTAATAAAACACATGACACGTTAATTTTTTAAACAAGAGAAACTGAATTGTTCCTTTCTTCATCTCTCCTTATTGTTGGATCACATGTGACTCACGAAGCAAAGACATGTCAAGAACATATGCGGTAAGACCAAGTTTCTTCGTATCTTAGAGCCTAAACTTCAGCTATTTTGAGTTCAAATGCAAGTTCTAATTCAAAACTGTTTTTAGCTGGTAATAAATGTTATTAGTAGCTCAGTTGCTAAGTAACAAAAAGACCAAAAGACGTACAACATATATATACGTTTGTGTGTGTTTATAAGTTTCAATACTAGAATAAGATTTTATTAATTATTGAACTATATTCAGATAAGTGAGGATAGGCATATTATCAAAATAAAACCCGACAAGAGATCAACACTAACGTTTGAGTCATAAAGTCCACCAAGTACAAAGGTCGTTGATATATCTATACAGTAAATACGGATGTGGACTCCATTTTGATCCTTTATCTTTCTTCACAAACAGTTCCTTTGGAGACCATAAAAATTAATGTTTTACGTAGAGATTATGCACTAAATCAAAATCTTAGTTTTGGATATTTGAAAGTTTAATGTGTTCACTCTCCACTACGTGTCTCTGTAACGATTAATAAGTATCATTGTTAGCAGAAAGCGTCCTCAAATTGTTTATCGGTAAGCTTGTGTGCTTATAACGCCACAATTTAGGGCTAGATTTCCAAGGTGGCCAAAGCACATATAGTCCATTGTGATTTTATGCTTAACAACAAACAAACAGTTGTTAGCAGAAAAATATCTAAATCATCAAAAACCTTTCTGGTTTTTGCATACCGTTATTTAACGGTAGTTACTATGTTTCTCTGGTTTTTGCATACCGTTATTTAACGGTAGTTACTATGTTTCTCTGGTTTTTGCATACCGTTATTTAACGGTAGTTACTATGTTTCTAGAGTTTTTGCATACCGTTATTTAACAGTAGTTACTATGTTTCTATAGTTTTTGCATACCGTTATTTAACAGCAGTTGCTATGTTTCTATAGTTTTTGCATACCGTTATTTAACAGTAGTTGCTATGTTTCTATAGTTTTTGCATCCCGTTATTTAACAGTAGTTACTGTGTCGAAAAACTATGAATCTATAATATCTGTCAGCTAACCGTTTTTTAAAATGAAATTTATGTTACAGTAAGTAGACCTACAATCATGTAACAAATTGTCATTACAATAAATTTGTAAAGTGTTTATAGTAGTAGCTTTAAAATATTAATATTTAATTTTGACGTCAAATGCAGTCAGTTTGTATATGAGCTCAGTGCTTCTACTTTACAAAATCAGTGATAGTTTTACTTGTTTGTTTACATACTGGGCTACCTACGCTCTGTCCACCACGTGGAATGAACTCCGAATTCTATCGTTGTAAGTTCGTAGACTAAACGCTGATCCATTGGGGGAATCAAAGTCAGCTGAGTGTGTAAAAAAACAACAAAAAACTATAGCTCTATGAAATCGTTAGCCTTAGACCCATATTTAAGTACCGTGAGGCCTATATAGTTAGTTTTAAGGTTAACTCGGTCAAAAACGTTAAATATTACCACCAGTTTTATTGTTTAACCCTAACTGTATTACCGTGGGTATCTACTTATTTAACGACATAAATCATTGGTATCAGTTTTTATTAGCATTACTACTAAATGTAATACCAAACCTTAACACTAATCTTTAAAAAAACATTATCTAAAATATCACACAGCTTGGGTTTTATGAGATAGATGGCACACATTTAATGTTTTTATTTTTTTAAGAATGCCTTTGAGAATGCCTTTGTAGGTTATAATATCGCTTTACAATGAAGTAATATCGCTTTACTGTCCTTACAATGCAATTACTCAAGTGATCATTACACATGACCAAGAAAGAAGAACCAGCAGCCAACTAATCGGCAGTGAAATCTTAATGTGTTTTGGATATTCGCTACTCAAGGTCTATATTCGCCAGCTGTTCTTAATTTTGAACTGACAGACTAAAGAGAATGGATCTAGTCAACAACACCCCCCGCAAACTTTTGGGCTACTCTAGTCGAATTGTGAAATTTCACTGACATTGTTATAACACGCCTACGCCCCGAAGCGAGAATTTTGCGACAACGGGACGCGGACCATGAACCATCGGATTCACAGTCTGACACGGTTACCACGAGGTCACGCCCAGCCAGTTTTAGGGTTTAATGTTACCAAACACTGCGGTTAATTCCATAGATCCTAATAATCATAAGAATTCCATATAAACATTGTTTCATATAAAAAAAGATATTGAAATACAAGTGTAAGGTATTAAGCATTCATGCATCAAGACTTTGATTTTTAATGTCTTTAAATTATATAGTGAAAATACGATGAAGGAAAAATATTCCTATGTTTCAAACTTTTATGTCATTTTTTTCAACAAAATTTCCTAGTACATAGTTGGGAAAGACTCCGAACCCTGGCTTTCTAACATATTCTATGTATTAATGAAACTTTTCGGAAATATTAAGATCTAGATAATTTGATTTCAACTTCGAAGATACAAGTTACGTATAACGTAACTTTCGAGACATGTTTTTTGTTTATATATTTTTTTTACATATAAAATAATTATAAGATTAAGATAGTGTAATCCCACATCAATCAACGACAAGGCATAGAAAAGACTCTTTTTCAGCCGAACCAGAGCGTATAGGAGCTGTAAACAAATTCAAGACGCCTTCTCAGTTTTCGGGGAAATTCTTTTTTTTTTTCTTAAGTATAATATTTTATCCAATAAGACAGAGGAGCAAGATAATAATGTATGAATGAGGTAATTTCACCTCAATTTCAATAAGGAACGGAATAGTCGAGTTCATTACACGGTTCAAATGGCATAATTCTACTAGTAATTGCACTGCTGAATAAGACGTGCCTAATAAGTTAGGCCCAAATTTTTAGGGTCACTGTACGGACACGAGCTGATGTTTGAGATTTGTATTGAGAGATTTGTATTCAAGACAATAGATCTTTAGAAATGCTTATAGAACAGAATTAGACTGATGCATTCATTCACCGTGTTTTTTAATTCTTTATGTGGTAAACAGCAAAGGTTCCAAACGATCAAACTTAGATACAAGACAGTATTATATCTATTCTGTTTAAGAAAAAACAGCTCTGAAGTTTCGAGGACGCAGTTCCAAAGGAAACAAATATTGTTCCTTAACATGCATGACTAAATACAGCTGGTTTTAGTAGAGTATTTTACTGTGTGTGTGTGGTTGTTTTAAAGAGTACGATTCTTATAATCTGAACAATGAGCCTGCAGCAACTAAAACGGTGTTTGTTACATGCTTTCTTTACCCATTTATTAGTTCAATAATTACACTGATTGGTATCTGTTTGTATGTTTGCTCATATTAAACGTGCCCGTTCTCCAACAATTGTAACTGTAAGCCATGACAGTGCGTAGCGTATAACAATTAATAGCTTCTATTTTGTGCACAAATCATTTCTCCGTTTAAAAATAAAAAAGTCTCAATGTTTCACATTGGAATAAAAGTTCAAAGTGTAATGACTGTTATGAAATAGGAATTTAAAATATACTAAATAAGGAGCTCCAATTATCTATTAAAGAAAATTCCAATTATGGAATATAACGTTAATAATAGTTTATTTATGTTTTATTGTTAGTATTAAATATTAAAATATTTTCTCGAATCATATTTCCAAGTGGCACGTCATTAAAGGTGTCGCTAGCATTTGGTGGTTGGGCCCTTCCTAAAACAAAAGCAGCCACTACTCAAAATAACACTAATTAAAACATAGTTGCAATGTAACATATTAAAATAGATATGGTGCACCATGAATGTCATAAAGAGACAAAAACAACAAAATACGACCGAACTGTAAAACTGAGCCATAGATAATGTCTAGATAATATAACATATGGATAAAAAAAGGGCCCATTTGATCATTCAAGGCTGTTATTGTCCATCCACTTTTGAGAAAAGTAAAAATTTAAGCCCTCTATTTATTTTTCCAGAAATCATCGATTCCTCTTCTGAAACTTTTGTAAAGGGCTGTCTTCCACTACTGTTTATGGCAATTCATTCCACAAGCCAATCACCTTGTTAGAAAAATAAAAGGCTTATCTGGAGCCTAGCCTGTCTTTTCCAAAACTTAAACTTGTGCTCTCTCGTCCTTTTATTTTCAGAATACAGCACAAAGAAATCAGAGGTCTTTATCCTATCGATCTCCTGAATAACCTTGTAAAATTTAATAAGATTATCTTTTACCATTCTTTCTTCAAGAGAAATTAAGTTAAGAGATCTTATTTTATTAATATATGATAGCTCCTCCATTTCTGGAAGCATTTTGTAGCCTTGCTCTGAACTCAATTTCAATAATTCAATATGCTTTTTATCTAAAGAGAACCCAACTGTACACATACAGTTTCAAGTGAGGCCTAACTAGATTATCTGGTTTCGAAATATTTCTAAGTACACCATTTTGCAATCACATAAGGTATCTAAACACTGTAGTTGACGCCATAGGTCTCTTGTAGATGGTATCTGGCAAAAATGACAGCGGTAATAATGGTGCCAGTAAAAATTATGGGAATAAAAATACAATAATGTTTCATTTGGAAACAAGTGGTGCCATTTATTTTTTACTTTGTATTATTACAGATGAAAATTGCGTTTCCCTTGGATACATTCTATACAGATCCTTTAGCTCCCACATGTATTTTGAATGTACTGTGAAACTACTAGTTGGAAGCTGACCAAGAGGTTTCATTTGTTACTGCTTTAACAAACTTAATATTATTTGTTAATAAAATAACACTGAACAAACGACTGTGCAATCAAAGTGAAAAGCATGTAAGGCAGAATACTGCAATAAGAATACTTAATATTATTTCCGATCAAAACAAGCTATGTATGTATTGGCTCACTCATAAAGGAGAAGAGCTCCATCAACACCAAGCTAATGTTCTTGATCTTGAGCAAGTCATGCAACTACAGCGGCAACGGGAGAAGACGTAGTTAGTAATTAATATTAACTTCCGACAAAAGCAAGCTGTGGCTCACTCATGAAACAAAAGAGCTTTACCAACAGCAAGTCGTATGACATTCTCGTACATTCCTGTTTTGACCCCCTCCTACATGATCAACTCTACGGACTTAAAACGCAAAAATTCGAGATTCGATTCTTCGTGATGGACAGAATGCAGATACCCTAACATCAATATAACGATGAATGTAGTATTCGGGACGTTTTTATGGCTTAAATTTGCTCATAGGGACACACTTATAAGTTTTTCCTAAAACCAATCGTTATTTATGGGCTTTTGAACTTATACGTTTGATTTTGTTTAGATATTTGGCCAAACAATACAACTACTTTAAGGCTTATTTTTTTATATTCTTTCTATTTATGACAGAGCTTGTGCTGGTATTTTAGTTACAAGATTGGTATCTTTGAGTCATAACAAAATTTAAAACTCCTAATTTTACGTTACCTAGTGGGACAGCGGTAAGTCTGTGGTCTTAAAACGCTAAATTCCAGGGTTCGATTCTCTCCGAAGTGGACTCAACAGATAGCCAAATGGGGCTTTGTTATGAAACAAACAAACCTGTTTAAACGTTGATGCTCCTGATGTATAACTATAAATAATTACCTTATATACCGATATTATCAATACTCTGAAAGTAGAAGAATAACATCTTTATGTTTTTGTGTTCTTTTGTTATTGTCTTAAATGATGAACTTTTTTTACGTAATCTATTTACTTATCAATCTCATGTGGCAAAGTACTTAAATTGCTCTTATGCATGAAGTTTTCATAATTTATCAACTACAAATTTAACATGAGGTTATTTAACTTTTGAATATATGAAATCTAAGCAAAATCATTCTAAGATACAAAAATAAGTCTCCAAACAGAACTCTGTTTTATTAGCAAAATTCAAAATGTAAATTTAGTATTCTAATCGATAATGCAAAATTCTAGTTTAATATATTCAACTAAATAAACACAACTTGCAATTAATGCTTTACTTTTTCGTTCTTCATACAATCTTTCTTATTATTGCAGGCTTCGATTCTGATGGTGTTCGTTGCTTTCACTAGTGTTTTGATAGAATCTGAACCTCATGCAACTACTAAAACAGAGCCTAAAAAGGAGAAAGCACACAGCGATCAACACGAAGAATCACAAAACACTATCAGAAATAGTTATTATCACAAACCCGGAGGTTCGTTCTTCTTTACCAATGTCGGACCAAACAGTTTTGAGTATCGTGGAATGTTTCAGCCCGGAGAAAGTCCAGTGAATTTTATTAGCAATTTTACGTCTTTCTTTAACGATTTCCCAGAGTTTTCAAAGCTATCTAGTTTTGAAGATCTCTTTAGCAGAAAAAAACAACTGTCACCTACCACACCCATTTCACCCAAAAGAACGCCTAGTCAGTACAAGTTTAACCCTTCATTACCTACGATCCGCCCACGTGTTATGACAAACGACGTCCTCCGATTTCCGAATAGCAATGTACGATATCTGAAAAATAGTCCCATATTGAAAGTAAATATACATGAATATAAAAACAACAGAAAATCAATGCAGAAATTTAATAAATCTAGCTATCAGGAAAGTAAAAAATTCAGAAAGGAACTCCAACGACAAGGGCCACAATCTCCTTACAATCTCCCCGAAGAGCCTACATATAAGATTCAAAGAAACAAAACTACTACTCCCCCACCAAGTTTATATAATTTTGAAATTTTAAAATCAAAGGCTTTATATGCAGCTAGGCCACTGCCAGACAACGCTCTTCGTCGAAAAGGATTTTTTCCGAAATCTACAAGTGAAGTGTATTTTCCAAACTATGACATTTTAAGAGGCAAGGCACGAGTTAAAAAGTATCCGAAAATCTTCAAATTTAATGACTACCGAGTAAACATTGTGGAATTTGATCGAGAAAAGAAAAACGGAAAAATTGACGATTTGGCCAAAGCAGACGCTTTAGACCCTACTAATGTTCCTCGCAAAACATTTTTAATTCTTCGCGGTGGTGTATATGATGACGACCGTGTTGCTCGAAGACGCATCAGTGTTAATAGAACTCCTTTCAAGTCTGAACAACAGGATTTCTATGATGTCTTTGCCGATGACAACGAATTCTCAAATGATGACTCATTTTTCTATAATTTCTGGTGATAGGAAGTGTTTTGACCCCAACCATTAATTTCCGGTATTTGAACTACAAACATAATTCGTTATTGATAATGTTAAAATGATTGATAAATAAAAACTGACAAACAAACTATTAAAGCAGATATTTAAAACAATGTGTTTTCGGTTCATAAAAAAACAAAACGAAACAGAGGTTTTTGATATACTTAAAGTGACTTGCAATTAGTAACAAAAATAACTCTCATTGATATTATGTGTTGAACGAGAATATTGTAAAAAATACTAGTAGAGACCCACAAAACATTTGCGGTCAAATTAGTATCCTTTTTTGCAACACTACTTTTTTAAAATACACGATTTCTAGAATAATACAAAAGACTTGTAATCGCAGTCACCGAAATCTATAAGCCCACTTGTCGTAGGCGTAACATTAGTTAAGTCTTTATTAAGTACGGCCGATATTCGATAAATAGATCAATTAACTCTGTAACTTGTGACATTTATCTTTCAAATATAATAAAAAAAGTACATCTTATTACAGTAAATGTTGATTCCAAACCAAAAATCACAAATCAATAATAAATTTAAATTCACTCTAATCTGTTTTAACAAATATATAAATAAAAATAACACTAATTATTGAAAAATATACTTTATTAAGCTCACCCTAGACAAATATAGTTTTAAATGTTGAAATAAAAAGCAATTTTCCACAAAGCGATTTTTCGCTGTTTTAATGTATGATAGAAAAAACAAACAATCAAATTGAAGTTTATTGATGGTGCATTCTATATGCAATGAAACATATCAGAACTATTAAATAAAGGAAATGCATCACTAAATCTGTATTCATTTTGTTTTAGATTCTTGTTAGTTTTCAATTTTCGAAAATTAATCAAAATTACACTGTAACGAGTTACTAAACAGTACATTTTAAAATGTGGTTTTCTTCTGGTTGCCATCATGTTAACGTATTTAATATCGTTGTGGCTGAAGTATAAAAATACGTTTTTTTTTAAATATCAAGAACAACTTTAATAATTAGTTACCATTTTGCAAGACATAAATGATTTTCTGTTATTGTTCAAAATAAAAAAAAACTTTCAGACAAAAATGCATATAAGAAGAAGTATTTAACTGATAGGTGTCTTTCTTTCGGGATGAAAATTTCAATTATACATGGAATAACGGAATTTTGGTCGGGATATTAATACATCATCTGTGCTTTTATGGCCGATAATGAGTCGTACTAAGACAGATATTCTAGGAGTCTATTTTATGAACCAATAGGATTAGATTCTGCTATTTGTCTTTGGGTCTAAATAAAACTTTCCTTGCAAAATTAATATGTCACGTATTCTACCAGAAACCTGAAGACTGGGAAATAACTTTTGCACTTGCTTTTTATTTTGTTTGAATTTTGAATATTTTTCTGTAGTTGCTAATTTGGTTGTGTAATTATATAGTGCTTTGAGAAAAAAATCCCCAAATTTCAATAAAAAAAAGAGCCTATAATGACGAAGGGAACATTTCTTTGTTGCAACAAACGTTAACAAGCAAACATTTCATTCTGTATATGGGTATGATCAGAGAGGGACAATAATGTCCCTTATAAATGCCTCAATTCTTTTTCAACTGTTTTAATATTCTCTTATCTTGATTCGTTTTTAACGTTATACAAACTATACGTAAAATATTATGGTTTTAGCATTTAATTTTTTCAAATAATAAATGCATATTTATCCCAAATCTTACTTCGCGTGTGATAAACGAAGTTACCAGGACTTCACACATATCTCCGTAAAAAGAAAATTCCTGACTATGCTACACTTATTTGTTTTTTGTTTTTCAGAATTCGAGTAGTTGATCATCGATTGATCATTTGGATTTAGAAAAAGATTTTAGTTCGAACGATAATAGAAAATATTTCAATTTTCTCGTTCTATGTAACTTCATCATTAGACCATCGTACGAATTTGCAGAGACAGTCCTGAGCTATTTTAGAGACACAAGCGATTAATAGAAATGATGACTTTCAGTTCCTACTCAAAAACTTCAAAGTATAGGACACATACTCGGAAAATACAATTAAAACACGCATACAAAACGTAGACCTCAGTTTTTATTACACGTACATTCACGTTGTCCATATAGAAGGGAGATAGTTTGTGAGCTTTCATTTTTAAAATGTTTAGATTACATCTGTGTAATTGTCTCTAAATGCAATAATATTTTCGACTGAAATCACAATGAGAGTTATGAGACTACTCATTCTATCCTGGTTAACTGAAGATTCATGTCACTTTCGATAAAAATAACTTTTGAAAAGCTCCTTCTTTATTGTACAATATGTTCACGAGAATTATATTTGTCAAACTGTGTGAGATACTGCGAATGCATTGACAACAAACTCTGCATCCATCAAAACCCAATATTCTACTGAGTGAACATCTGAACGCTTGTGGTAATGGGCAGTTTGTGATTTTTATATTGCAAAATGTTTCTCAAATAGTAAAATAGAGCAGAAAGCAAAAGAAAATGTTTCATAAAATTATTCCAGCCACTACTCAATCGTTTAAAATATTTAGTCCATATATATTTTTGTTCTTTTAATCATTAATTTTTATATTTTATATTTTCTTATTTTAGATTTGTATCTCCATCCTTGAGGTCATAGTCAGAACTGTTACTGTTACCTTAGACGAAAGCACTTACGTTAAAAGGAATTGAAGCATTTATTTATAAGTATTCTGAAATAAGCTTATAGATTTCATATGGACCATATTTATAAACTTTTCACTTTATATTTATATATTATTTTATAACTTCATCTTTTAAAGAGAAGGAAAGAGTAATTTTCGATTTTCTACATTTTCTGTATTTGTTTTTATTTAACAAATAACAGTACATAAGAACCTTCTTGAACATCTGTGAAGTTGGGAAGACGCTTTGTGTGCTTTTTTACACCTTTATCAAACACACACATATATATATATGTATATATATAGTACCCAAGTGTAGGACACATACTTGGACAGTATAAGCTTATTGTTTGTCGTGAAAAGTTCGCTCCTTGCATTCATATATATATTACAATGAGCAATTCAAATGTCATGATGTTTAATATATTGTTACGTCTGTGTTCGTTTGTTAATTTCCCATATAATCTCTTTCGGATGAAACTTTAGCGATACAAGTCCTTTCTTAAAAAAAAAACTAGTTTATTCTTTCTCAATACAACTATGCAATACACTTAATTTCCACAGTCACCTTAAATACACACTATAATTCACAACGATTCACGCACTTTACTTACGGTCACTACCGCGCTTGACTCAATTGACCGTCTCTATCTCTGCCTGTCTGCAATTCAATTAATTATCTATGCCGTCACTTCTCCCACGCTTTATTTGCCGGGCTTATATATACAAAAATAAAGGACGCGTAGAAAAGACTAGAGTTGCCAGGAACAGACACGATCCTTCTAGAATCTCATGACGTCTTACTAGCGTCACGTGACTTCCGCTTATATATTAAAAAAGAGGGCGTCTAGCAAACACTCGGACATTCGAGGAACTCCAACGTGCATGCTCCCAGCTTCATGCGACTTCCGCTGTCGTAACACTGCCCCTTCCTCAGTATTGTTCTTCCCGAACAATAGCCACTTACATTG